AGTAACACATGTAAACCACCTCTACTAGATTCTTATATGACTCAAATAAATTTGACATGCCAAGGGATAAACTGAATAGATCACTCGATCAGCCATAAAAGACCTTTAGACTGCTCCTTTCTTTAAATTTATGGTTGTAAATTTAACCTACATTCGTGACCTACTTTCCTGCCCCATTGACATACAGCTTAGAATGCCAGCAGAAAAATCTGTTCAAACATCATTTTCGGGTAAAATTAAACAATGCCTTTTGGTAATTCTCTTAGTTATACTACTTGAAACTATATGCTGGCATTTGGTTGGTTTTTGTGACAAAAAATTGACTTTGTGTGTATCTTTAACAAAACAGACTTACTAGTATGTTTTCACTCATGTCAGTGTCTTAAATATGCCAAGACAAGATGGACACATACAACAGTAGCAGTAGATAGTCATAAAAAAATAAAATGTTTACAGATATAAGGAAGGCTAGGATCATTTTGTACAGTTGGTTAGAAATAATATCTGAAGGGCAGTTATTTTTTTAATTAAAAAGAAAAGAAATGTTAGTTATATAGAAAAATTATGTTTTATAGCATGGTATCAGACTTCTTCTACCCCAACATGGGTGGTGTGGAAAGCCACATCTATCAGTTGTCACAGTGTTTGTTGGAGAGAGGACATAAGGTGATTATAGTGACACATGCATATGGGGACAGGAAGGGGATAAGGTACCTGACAAATGGTCTGAAGGTAAATCTCTCTCTCTCTTTCTCTCTCTCTCTCTCTCTCTCTCTCTCTCTACTTAAAGTAAAACACAGACATCTAAAAGTTGGTTATAGAAAATGGGATAAAAGTGTTTTGGAAATGTTCAGTCTTGAATTTAAATAATACAAGTGAAGTTACTACGTCTTGAAGTTATGTGTTATTTTCTCTATGGTCCATCAGTATTAATTTAAGACCAAAATACAATGAAAAGACACAACTGTAGGTGAAATTCTAATGCAGTTTAGTGAACTTTTATTACTTTGATCTCATCTTAACTTGTTATTATGTTGTGTGCATGCAGTTTCATATTTTTTTGTTTTTATTTAAATTATGTATATTATACATATTATGCATTAATTATAAATATATTTATTTTTCAGGTGTATTATATCCCTATAGCTCCATTTTATAACCAGTGTGCTGTTCCAACCCTCCTAACAACACTGCCTCTCATCCGTAATATTTGTGTGAGGGAGGAAATAACAATCATTCATGGACATTCTGTTAGTACTTGTTGATTTTTTTTTTCTCTTTTAATCTCGAGGTACAAGGAGGAAATAATTCATGAACACTATTCAAGTATATATATTTTTTAAAGCTTGAGGCATAACATTAGTGTAAGGGAAGAAATGTTAATTTCTGAGCTCTACCTAAGGAAATAATGACAAAGAAGTGTGTAAAAAGAGTAAAAAAATAATAAATCATTTACCAAATGCTCAAGATCATTTTTACCAAATAAAGAAAATTCACATAGAATATAGTCTGTCAATGCTTATTAAGTGAACTAGTGGCAATGATAATAAGCTGAAGCAAGAGATTTTTGTTGATTCCATTCATTCATTTATTTTTATTATTCCTTCCTTCCTTCCTTCCTTCATTTATTTATTTATTTATTTATTTATTTATTTATTTATTTATTCATTTATTTATTTATTTATTTGACCACAGGCTTTCTCCACTTTGGCCCATGAGGCTATGTTCCATGCTCAGGCTTTGGACATACGGGCAGTCTTCACTGACCACTCCCTGTTTGGGTTTGCTGATGCCAGTTCCATCCTTACCAATAAACTCCTGATGATCTCACTGTCTGGGGTGAACCATGCAATCTGTGTATCACATACAAGGTAAGATGTTGAGCAAATATGTTCATTACCTTGGTAGTTGGATCATGAATGGAAATTATCAAACACAAACCAAAAAAATCTTTCATACCATTAGCTTACGGCTAACCTGAATGTAGGCCTTCATTGGACGGATGTGAGATGTTGTTATTCACTGACTGCTATAGCATCATCAGTCTGAGGAAAGCCTACGTCCAGGTTGGCTGTAAGCTAACAGTATGAAAGATTTTCATCTTGTATAAATTTGATTGATCATTTGGCTAATTGTCTTGAAAATGTTTACTGATTCATTTATTTATTGATTGATTAATTCCTGATTTCGTTGTAATGGTGAACAATTTCATTCACTATCATTTGCAGTTTAATTCTTTTAAGACCCCTCATGGTTGCCATTTGTTACTGATTATGTGATTCCAGATATTAAAACTGTTAAAATCTAAAAAAAGTAATAATAATAAATTGCAGTAAAGAGAACACAGTATTAAGGGCCTCTATTCATCCAGAATTGGTTTCTGTGATACCCAATGCTGTGGATGCCACTGCCTTCACTCCTGCTCCAGAGAATAGGAAAAAGGGTAGAGGTGGGTTGATCGTGTTTTAGTGCCATGTAACACTATGTTTGTACTAAAGAAACTGAATGTAAGTGGCTGTGTATTTGTAACAGTAAAATACTTTACTGAAAATTATATGGCAGTCTCTTCTGCATTGATTGATTAGAGATGTGCTTATGTCAGGAGAGATTTTACCAAATGCTGTACAACCATCCTGTATTTTGTTTTTAAAATTGAATGAAAAAAGTAATCAGCATGAGTGTATGTATTTACAATCATTATATTTATGTTGGTAAAAAAGAAAATTGTTTCTAAAAATACTTAACATTTTTTCATTACTTGTATTATCCTTGATGAAAGGTTGCCACAATGCTGATGTAACCTTCTAGGTCTGTGGAGTGCTAAATTTGATGAAGGGCTGAAGAAATAAATTAAGAAAGAAAAAAAATTCTTTAGAATGAAAACTATAAAAAATACTTCATTGCAATATTTATAATATTTTCAGTCACTGTGGTGGTGATGAGTAGACTGGTATACAGAAAGGGCACAGATCTCCTTGCTGGCATTATACCTGACATTTGCAGCAAATGTGACAATGTGGACTTTTTAATAGGTATGTTTTTATCTCTCTTTTACATAAAACAACTTTGTCATCATTTGTTTTGTATCAGGAAATCATTAATGCTGTAATAATATTTAGTCTATAACTCAAAGTCAACAAACTGGCCACACAAACCATTAGACCTGAAAATGTTCCCCCATTTTCACTACAATTTCCATCACATTTTGCATCTCTCTTTTACATAAAACGGCTTTGTCATCATTTGGTTTGTATCAGGTAATCATTATTACTATAATATTATTTCTGTCATTCAAACATTCAAGTTCTCTAACTGGTCATTCAGACCAGAAGAATTGGGAGCAGTTCCCTTTTTCACAACATTTTAGTTTTCAATCACATTTTTCATCCAGGTGGAGATGGTCCAAAGAGGATTGTGTTAGAGGAGATCAGGGAGCAATTTCAACTCCATGACAGAGTGACACTCCTGGGTGCCGTGGAGCATAATAAAGTCAGAGAGGTTAGTTACTGATTACTAGGTACAATAACAACAGTGGTTTTTAAAAAGGTTTTGCCATACTCCTGTTTAATAGTGGCAAAAAAGTAAAGCATTTGTGCTACACTGTCATATGATCCCAAAATAAATCTTAGTATCCTTTCAGTGTTAAGAAAGTCTTGAATAGTCACTCAATCACAGTAATTCGAGGAATATAAATAAGATTATAACTTCAAATGCTGAAATATATATTTCATCTTATTTATTTATTTATTTGTTTGTTTGTTTGTTTGTTTATTTGTCTCTTTGTTTGTTTCTATGTTTATTTACTAATATTTTTAATTTGTTCAACTCAGGTATTGGTACAGGGGGATATCTTCCTGAATACCTCACTCACAGAAGCTTTCTGTATTGCCATAGTGGAGGCTGCTTGTTGTGGGTAAGTTAGTAACATACACTACACTACTATCATCATAGAATCCCTTTGCAGCTGTCACACAGTGGTTTTAAGAATTGCCAGTCAGTTTCGCTGTAAAGGAATAACCCTGCAGTTAATGTATTCTATAAGACCAGTTGTAAATTATATTAATCATTATTTAAATGCAGCATGCTAGTCATATGTACCAAGGTTGGCAGTTTGACTTTCTGCCTTCTTTTGTATTAGTTGGTTATATATTGATATATATTTTGTGTAATTTATATTTCTTATTGAAGCATGCTAGTCATCAGCACTAAGGTTGGAGGCATACCAGAAGTCTTACCCAATGATCTCATCCAGTTAGCAGAACCCAGTGTTAAAAGTAGGAAGTTTGACTTTCTGCCTTCTTTTGTATTAGTTGGTTATATAATGTACTGCAAATTAAGGGAATCAGTCAAAGTTATATGGATATTATGCACCAGAGATAAAGTCTTGCGATAACAGTATGCTTGATGATATGACGCATCAAAGTGTAGTGTTTCAGCTAAATTTTTGATTATCGATTAATAACACTGCTACTTGTATATGAATTGAAGCCCGACTTAGTATTTCTGATAAGTTTTACTAACAAGTTTAATTGAATTGCTCCAATTTGAAACTTTTAGTTACAAGGGAGAAAAATAGAAGAAAGAAACAAGTATTTTAACATAAAGTATTGTCATAATTTTCATTGAAATTATTCATCGCAGGTCTTACCAAAGAACTAGAGGCAGCTATTGAAATCTGTAAAATGGGTAGGTCGGACACCCAATTTCATGAAAGACACGAGAGAGTGAAACGGCTTTACACATGGCAAGACGTGGCCAGGAGGACCGAAACAGTTTATAACATGGTGTGTGAGGAACCACGTAGACCTTTACCTGACAAAATTATGAGGTGAGTTGACTTTGCCAGCCTGAGGGTTTCATTTTAAATATATATATATTTTTTAGATTTTATGGTGTTTTATGAGTGTGACATATGAAATTTTTTTTCCTGAAAGTATGTTTTGAACAGATAGTAGAATAAAGATTACTTTTTTTAGACATGGACATAACTTATAATATAAAACATAAAAAAGATGCCTTCTTTTGCAGTAATGTGAGGTTTTGTGAACATGTGATATAGTATAGGCCCTTTGCAAGCTAGATGCTGCCATGTTGACATCTTTACCTACTGGAGAGTAAGCTGCTCAGTAAACAACAGATATCAACATATCAGCATCCAGCTGCAAAGAGCCTATTACATGAAAATAATACAAAGATAAGTATTGAATTTTTGCATAAGCTTACTACTTAACTACAAGTGGTGTGGGTAAAATTCAGGAAAATTTTAATGACAGTCTTACCTTAACTTTGACCCATTATTATTATTATTGTTATTATTATTATTTCAGATATCAGCAATGTGGCCCCATTGCAGGGAAAATCTTCATATTGTTTGCAGCTCTCAACTATCTCCTTTTGTTTTTGTTAGAATGGTGGTTGCCAGCCAAGGTAAATTAAGTACCGTCACAAGAAAGTTCATTTTAATTAAAATAATTAATTTATTGGGGGTAGTTACTTGGCAAAATACAGCTAAATAGAATACTTAAAAGCATTTTGATGTCAAAATCTTTGATATGTTTACATTTATACTTATTCAGTAAAGATTTTTTTAAATTATTTATACATGATTCATAATTCCTTTAGTTTACTTTTCAAAGATTGAAATCTATTTTTGACCAGTTATTCTACAAACATGGTTTGTAAATTGATGATATTTTCTTATCACCTGTGAAATATACACATACTGATATTCTTTCCAACTTAGTGAGTAGCAGTGTCAGTTCTAGCAGGCATATATAAAGAAAGATTATTTTTATCTGTAATAAATTCTTTATCTTCAGGATATGGACAAGGTACCAGATTGGCCGCAATCAAAGAACAAACTGTCATTCTCGAAAAATAAAAACTCTGCCTTAGAGACTAATAGAAGAGATTGCCAAGACCTGGGCAGGTAGCAGGGTTTTGGTGATTGATGTTTCATGATGTTTGAGAATAAATTTAAATAATCTTTAAAACAACACCAGTCCGTAAGAATGAAGTAAGTTTTCTTCATTCTTATAACATAACACAGCTGATGAAATTCTTTTTCAACACTGGCCCATGTACCTGTACTTACAGCATGCAAAATGTAAAGTTTGAAAAAGGGATTAAACGATAAAAAATAAAAATGAAATCAAGTTGTACACTTTGACTTTATTTTGATGTATCTGTTTCTGTGTAAATAAATGGAATATATGATGAAATGTCACTGGCTTGTTTTATGCTCATGCAGAACGTGCGGAATCCAAATCAGTGAAAAATGGAGTGCAGCCAAGAAAACTTGCATCATAAGCCAAATCCAGGAACTCGTTCTCGTCAATACCGCCATTTTGGTTGACATCAATTTTGTCAAAGGACAAGCCAAGGTCTGCTGCGGGCACTTGGAAAACATCGAAAAAATTCGCCAGTTCTTGCANTAGGATCCTATAGGAAATTTTCATAAGGGCGTCCCATCCTTCGTTATCATTAGTGTCAAAAATGTGGAATATAGCTCGTATGAAAATTCTGTGTTGCCTTTGCCTTCTGGTTGTGAGGTGGCCTTCTCGATTCCACAACTTCATGTTCACTGTCTCGGTATGATTGTTTTTGTCATTGCTCAAGAAATCCAACCAGGCTTCCTGCATGACGTCATCAAGTTCACACTGTCTGGCGGTGTTCGCGTAGGATTTTGCTCTCTGGATGACCAAGTCGACATACTCTCTCCTTTCCAGTATATCGTCTTTATTAACGTCAAGGTACCGGACAAAATGGTGCTTGTGGTCCTGGAACGAAAATCAAGCATATGTCCCAAGAAACGGACCTTTTTTAAAAAAATGGCTAGAATGACCTTGAACATTGCAATACATGTGCTTAGTCAAGCTGTACTTAAAATGACATCATTAAACCTGTAAAAAAAAACTTAATCGAAAAACAACTAGGATGTCTTTTATGGAAATGAGATCTTTTGTCTGTTACCTGCATTGAGAATGTTCGACATATCCAAACCGATGTTTTGCAAATGAAACCTCCCAACACAAAACATGATTTTAGTCCTGTTTAAATGTGATAATGCACGAATATATGTGCTTCCTATTTTGAAAACTTGTAGAAATGAAAACCCCTGTAATTTTCATCTTTATTTCAGTGTTCTCTAGTATGCAGGTAAAATAAAATCCTTGTCTTTTTTGGTTATATGACCAGACAGAAAACTTATACGGCTAATATCAGAATAAGCAAAAGGGTGACTTTTTATTTGCATATTCAGTGAATTTTAGAATTAATGGCAAACTTTTGAGTCCACGTAAAGACAATACTAGATGCAAACAGCTAAAACACAGTTCTAGCAATCGCTTGGTCTGGAAATAGTGCAACGGTATTATATAAGGACTTGAAAGGCTTATTTTCACCTGGGCTCTCTCTCGACTTTTCCAGATATTTGGTATTTAGTCTAACCTTGTCCTGCCTGTTTCTAACGAGGATGCATCGCTTTTATTGACAAAAATAGTTTTCGGTCCTTATCTCTATTGTTATATAATAAGCTAAATACTGTTATCTCATTTAAAATTCAGAGTCAGTGTCCAGCAGTGTGAAGTAAGATGACCAACTCGAGTATTTCCTATATCACACTGAGAAAGTACTTTATTATCTTTTAGATCTCATTCTGTACAAACTATCTGCTATTGAGCCTATCTGCAGTTACCTTAAAGCACCTTCATTCAGGTGATTCCGAAAGGACCACACCTGTTTGGAGAATGTTAAGGGAACCAATAAGAATAGAATTTAAATATAAAGCAAAATACTATGACCAGTGAAATGCATTATCATTATGACAGAAAATGTTGGTCGACAAAGCACAACAGTATAAGGACTAAAATGAGATTTGTAGGATTTTCAACTGGAATTATATATGTCTTGGCTTTTTCTGTGTATTTGATATCTTTCGCATTAAGCATTCTCTAAAGAATCAGTGAATGGCGAGTTTTTCCCCTCTTTGATTTAGAAAACAAATAAAAGGTTTTCAAACAATTTCCCCGTTGTTTTAGCCAAGGACAAGACCGCATGTACCGTGCGATACCATGTGAAATCTACAAGCAGGACCACCTTAAGTGCTTGACTTTTCTATTTCCTGGAAGGCAGTTTATTGTTTTAGAGTGCTAATTTTTAGTCACATGAAGTACAATGAAAGGAAAAGTGCTTACCTTACCAATGGTAAAATGTTTACGCGCAAACCCCGTTGACCCTAGGATGGTTTCTACATCTTTACCGCCAATTTTGGCAGTTAAAGGTACCCCGTAAGCTAAGAAAAAGTCACACCCAAAGAGCCTCACAAGAAGACACACAATTATGGAACCATACATGCTGCAGTTTACTGATAAAACTCGACTAAATGGACTGATTATAAATTGGCTATAAAATAAGTAAGCTTCTCAAAGCCTAGTCACGTGGGAAAGCGTCAATAAAAACATTTTAGAGAAACTGACAAACAACTGAAAGTACCGGTATTACATGCTACTCGAATGTTGAGTGAGCTTGTACATACATTTGTCATCTTTCACAATGTAATAAAGGTACCTGTACAACGTTTATAGATACAATACTGTTAAAAAAACTGAAATTACAAGTTCTGCATGGCGCATCATGCTACCGGTACCAGTACTCAGAGCATATCTGTATGTTTCCTTTTCTTTCTGGATATGTGATTCATGTACGTTATAAAATTCTGGTTTGTGTCAATTTTGTCGAACGTCAGACAGAGCTCCGCTGCAGGTACTTTGAAAGCGCTGAAAAATTATCCGGTTCTTGGTCATCCAATCTTTCGTTACTATCAGAGTATCAAAAATATAGTTGTATTGAATGTCGCTCGTATGAGAGAGAGAGAGAGAGAGAGAGAGAGAGACGCTAAACTGATGATTCAAACGCAGTCAAAATTGTTTTCATGGCCATAACAGTCACGTGCATCCACACACACAAGATTCATGTCAATTCACCGTATAGATCTTAAGGAAAAAATAAGTATTATTACTGATGCAGTAGTGTCGGCAAAGACGGATCGCCGAACAGCAATTTATAAGAACACTAGACACCTTAAAAAACGGACTCAATAGGGACAATAGTTTCCTAAATGAGTATAATTTTTTTCTTTGTTACGTAATCTTGACTTTGTTCACGTTTAGCACGCTTTTGGGACATGGCGTGTTTTTAACACGTCACGTATCCAAGGAGTTTTTTTTTTTCATTTTTTTTTCATTTTTTCATAATCCCCGAAGAATACCTAGGGGCCGAAAGCTCGGATTATATATGACATCTGTAAAGTAGACCCCCCCCCCCCC